CCGCGCGGGAAGGGAAGCCCGGCGGCCCGGGGCAGGGTGCGTGGCGGGGGCCGGGCACGGGCTCCCCCTCGGGCCGCGCCTCCGGGGGAGACCCGGGGACCTTCGGGGCGCTCAGGGTCTCCGGGAGTTTTAAGGGCTGCGCGTGGGGAAGCGGGGTTTCCGAAGGGTGGCGTCGGTCCCTAACCCGAGGGATGGAGATGCATCCGGGAAGCCTCGGCTCGGACTGTCCGTCGGCCGTGGGTCTTTAGGTCCATCTCCCGTGTGGCCCGAAGGACCTGGTGGAAGAACAAAAGCCAGAAACCTAATCTGCGGCCCCCGGTGGGCGGGTCGCAGGTCCCCAGGGAGCTCAAAGCCTTATTCTCGGGAGTCACCCACTCTCCTCACCCCACGTGGGCACCCAGATGGGCCAGGTGCTAGTCCTGCGGGTCGTTCAGCCTCCGCCTTCCCTCCGAGTCCTCTGGCCCTCACCTCTGGCCCTGGAGGTGGCACACTCAGAGATCCGTGGGGGCCCCGGCCCCAGCCTTCAACCCCCTGGACTGCCGTCTCTCCTGGAGCAAGCGGGCACCTGAGAGCCCCGTGCTCCCTCAGATTTAATCACAGGTGTGGCGTGACCGAGGCTGGTGGCAGGGCCATTTCTCACATCCCAGCCAGGGCCCTGGGACATCTGCAGGGCCTTGAGCACTGCCTGTCATCAAACTAGGGGAGAAGCAGGCAGTGCTTCCGCTTAGGTTCCCTCCTCACAGAGCTGCCAGCCTGCACAGTGGGGGCCCACCTCTGGGGCGTGGACAGGAGCCCCGGCTCAACGACAAACCAAGCACCCAACTATGCAAGGCCCACACCCGGCCCGCACCCCACCCTCCAGGCTGGGCCCTTGGGAACCCCTGGGCCCACGGCCGAGCACAGCTCATGTGAGACCCCTCCCATCCTTAACGCCTCTTCGACCAGTGTGAGCGGGGCCAGAACACAGATGCTGAAGCAACTGCATTCCCTTCTAGACCTAGTTCCTTCTGTTTTAGTGTAGACGTGGCCCTGGGGCCCGAGAGCCAGCAGCCGAGCTGCCGGGGGCTGGGAGTAGGAGGCACAGTAGTCGGTGGGTGGGAAAAGGGCCTGGATGGTGGTGGTGTGGATTAGCCCGGCTGGGTGAGGGGGTGGGGTGGGGTGGCGAGGAGGGCAGGGGTCCTGGTCCCCGTCTCTCTCCTCTCCCTGCGGGACAGGAGCCTCAGAGAGGGCCAAGGGCAAGGTGGGCTGGCCCCGTGCTATCCCTCCTGGCACGCCCTCGAACTCATGGCCCTCCTGGGCCCAGCCGCTTTCGCCCGCTCGGAGCCGTGGGCAGGAGGACCTAGCTTTAATAAAGACTGGAGAAACGAGCTCTCTGACTGACGTCCGTGTCGTTGCTGCTCCTTGCTGCCCTTGGGGAGGCTCTGCAAGGCCTCAGGCCCATGGGTTTCTGCAAACATTTTTTTTTTTAGGGGTTTTTCTTTTAGGAAACTAGGATTGGTCCGTGAGGAGCGAGCCCGAGGTGAGCTCTGACCCTGCCGTCTGTCCACCGGTGTTTCTGGGAGTCCGCACACTGCACACGCCCCTGTAGTACACTCAGCGATATCGGGACAGCACCGTGTCTGGGACTGTTTTGGCCAGCCTTCCCCTGGTCCCCTCCCTGGTGGTCCAGAAACGTGCCTGAGTCACAGACCCCGCTCAGAGGCCCCAACGCCACACGCTTTTATCCAGGCTCGCCTGCTCCGTGCCAGGGCAACGCGTGCCTCCCCTGGAGCCCTAAGCACCTACCTTTGAACTGATTTTTTGACTTCACAGCACATGGTGTCCCCACAACCAGATCTGACCCTCCCATCCTTTCCCCATGGATTTGAAAAATATGAACTGCGTAGTAAACTCTGTTCTCAAATGTGATCTGGGGGCATCAGGACAGAACCCAATATTTCAGATTTAATAAAAAAAAAAAAGACCTAGTCAGAAAGGATAGCCTTGAGGATCTTGAAGTCTGTTCCAAAAGACTAAATCATTCCCTGCTAGAGCTTGCCAATTTTTATTTTTATTTTTAATTTTTAAATCTTGAGGGGGGAAAACCTCAATCTTGACGGTCGTAGAAAGTAAGGAGGCAGCCTTCCAGGTTGTGGGAGGACTTCCGAATCTCTGGAGTCCTGATTCATTACGCAAATGTCAATTCAGCATCTCCCGTCATTGCCAAGGAGGGATGGAGGGATGCCTGTGAGATGTGACCCATGAAAGGTGGGACTTGGAGAGTCGCGGGGCCCTGAGCACCCCTCTCGAGTCCACCTGTGTTTGTTGTTTTCCTGCTCTCTACTGCTCCCCTTTCCCCAGCCTCCTTCCTCTCTCCTCACCCTTTCACGCGATCTCATCAAACATTTCCTTCTAACTCTTCTATCTTTTCTCCAATTGGCAACCTATGGAATAAAGTATTTTGAAACTTTTGGTTATATTTATTAAATAAAGCTTTATGACCCTTGTTCTTTACTTAAATTTCTCCCCCCTCCCCCGATTACAAAATACATGCTAGTTGTAGGAATTTCAACAGCACCAAAGTGTGATAAGGACACTTCATGTCCTAAAGAGCCACCGGGCGCCACAACCGCCGCAGGACACGTGGGAGCACATTTCTTCTCTGTCCGTGGAAATATTTTAAAACTAGGAACATACCCGACACATTCTCTTGCAACTCGCTTTTATCATGTAACATATATGATGACCGTCTCCCTTACTCCTTGTAATTTTTTAATTTTACTTTTATTTTTAGAGAGAGACAGGAAGGGAGAGAGGGAGAGACATCGATGGGTTGTTCCACTTACGCATTCATTGGCTGACGCTTCCATGTGCCCCGACTGGGGATCGAACCTGCAGCCCTGGCTTATCTGAGCCACCCGGCCAGAGCCTACCTCGCTCGTTTCAACTGCACGGTGACAGGGTTTCATTCCCTGCGCGTATCATCATTTATGCCACTACTCTGTCCATGGGGAGTCGGTTGTTTCCGAAGTCTCACTATTGTGAACAGTGCTTCAGTGTGGATTCCTGTACATAGATCTTTGTGCAGTTACGCAGATTTTAAATATTGTCTGTTTATGTTTCTGGGTCAAAGGGCATGCATACTTAAATTTTCGGATATAACTACATTGCCACCAAGACAGGCTAACTCCAGTCCAACAGCATATTCTCCAGTGCAGTGAGGAAGTGCTGTTGGTCCATGGCCTCACCAACACAGAACATCAACAACTGCTTTAATCTTTGTTTCACAGAGAGGTGAATGGCTTGCGTTTCTCCATTTCTTTTAAACGTAGATAGATTATAGTATTTAAAAACACACAAAAAAAGCTCATGGCATTTGCTACGTATTTCTGTGGCTGTGGCTATAAAATATCCTCACCCAGGCCAAAATTTCTGGTATAAGAAGATGTCTCAGGCTTACCTTGAAAATTTCCTGCCCCAAACCTCTAATCAGCCAGTTCTCCAAGGGGTCCTGATTCCTTTAGTGGGAAATACTATTTAGAGACCATAATTTGGGTGCCGGGGTGCTCAATGCTATTGAGTTGATTTTTTTTCCGCCTAAGGAAAAAAATTCCATCTAGAATTCTATATCCAGCCAAGCTATTTTTCTAGCTATGAGGACAAATAATGAAATTTCTAGACATGTAAGAATTCAGGAAATTTACTCCCCATTAATAGATTATTAGCAGGCCTATCGGGAAGTGGAAGAATCAACCAGAAAAGAAGACGGCCTGGGAGGTAGAAAACAATGGAGCCAGTCCAGGAGAAGCTGTCCAGGACATCAGTCTGATTTGAGCAAGAGGATAGACAGCCTCAGGAAGTAGAGGGACAGCCTCAGGAGCAGGCAGGGGACCGGTAGGGTCCAAAAAATGACTGAGACGTTGGGCATGGAAGAGCAGAACCATGGTAAAAGGTGAGTCAGAAGGTGAAAGCTGACCGAAGCTTAGAACAGCCAACGTGGGGCATCTTAGGGCCATCAAGTGAACCCTCCTCAGGAACAAGCTGGGTCAGGGGGGAACCAGGGTCTTGCTCCCACCTTGGGACAGTGGATGTTGATGCCCTTCCCATGCCTGACAGTCAAAGTGGCCACCGTGAGACTCCACGCAATTTCTGTTCTGTAATTTTCTTTTTTTAATCCCCACCGGAGGATATTTTTTCCATTGTTTTTCAAAGAGAGTGGAAGGGGGAGAGAGAGAAACATCCATGTGAGAGACACGGCCGGTGGTTGCCTCCCACGGGGAGGGGGGGCACCCGGTGGAGCCTGCACCCCAGGTAAGGGCCCTTGGCCAGGGACCTTTCAGTCCACCTGCCTGACCACTGAGCAAAACTGGGCAGCCCTCCCCCCTTCCCCCTCCCCCCGTAATTTCTTTATTATTCATATTTTAGAAAATTGCTTGGCTGCGCTAACTTGATTAAATCTTTCATCTGTATCCCAATCTCCCCCTGCTCGCGGCTGTGAGGAGGCCCCGCATCCCAGGGACAGGCGTCCCCGAGGAGCCCCGG